TTTCTGGGCAAAAGGAACCCAGGGGACGGGACTTGATTTCCGTGTAAAAAGAAAAGGGAATGAAAAATGGGGGTGGGCCCAATTTACGTTGAAGGTTTGGAGTGAACCCAACCCCCTCCATCAGGGGGAAGGCTTGGAAGATGAAACGTGGGGGCTGGTCTTTTTTTCAGGCTGGACCAATGAATCCCCAGAAAGCACAAACCGCCGGGGCAACGGCGAGGGAGGTAAGCTTTCGTAAAAAAGGAAACTTTGCAAAAGTTCCTGGGAGTTTGGGGCCCAGGCCAGTCTTTCCCAGATTCTTCAAAACCTTCCATAAGGACAAAACGCTTTTGGAGGGAGTTGAATCAAATTTGTGTTGCCCAGGGCGGACAGCCCCAAAAAACATCCACTGGCTCTTAGGGAGGCAGGGGGTTCCCAAGGTGGTCCCGGCGGGAGGATGATTTCCCATAATTCCTCTTTTGATGGACCCCCTGAGTGTTAAAAAAAAAAATAAATAAACAATTATTTTTATTTTTTATATGTTGTATATTAAGATGAAAATAAGACGTGTGCATAGGGGACATTTGTTTATGTAAGCCTGTTTAATTAGGTAGCGGGACAGAATTAAAGAATTGGAATTCTGACAATTACCAAACAGTATTCATTTGGCGGTCCAAAGGGCACTTTCTACCGCAACCCACCAGGTAAAATATTCAGGGAAACGTTAAAACACACATTTCCAACTATTACTAAGTTAATTCTTCTTGGGAAATCCAGCTCTTTAATAAAACAAAATTTTTCAAATGGGGGGGGGAAAAACGTTGGTTAAAATACCCCAAAACTAGTGGAGGGAAGGGCCAGAAAGGCCCAACGGAGAGGCCAGCGGGGGAGGAGAGCGGAAGAGGGGGCCCGCCATCCCACAAAAGGGCCGGTCGGACTTTCCTTGCGCGGGGAAAGAGGGAGGAGGAGGAGGAGAGCCAACAAAACCCGTAAGGGGGGGGTTCCATAAAGCCAAGTCAAGACCAGCCCTTCATCCACAGTGTCGCAAGTATCGAAGGGAAACATGCAAAGTCGGGGATTCCACATGGCCTCATTATCAATGAGCACCCAACATCCCCCCAATGGTGGTAGGTGTGCCCACGGGAGTTTTGGCTTGCACATGAGAGCTTAAAGCCCGTAAAAATGCTCAGACATTTAAACACGAAGCACCCCTCTCTTGCTACTAAACCAGCAGATTTTTTCCGCCGAAAGCAGAGAGAATTGCAAGGCCAAAAGAAAGTTATAACTAACCAAGCAACAATCCCTACCAAGGCTCAAAATGCATCATATGAGGTGGCATATTTAATTGCACAGGCAAAAAAGCCACACACAATCGGGGAAACCCTAATTAAACCTGCTGCTATCGCTATGAGTAGGGCAATGCATGGGGATAAACAGGCACGGGAGCTGGAAGCAGTGCCGCTGTCTGACGGGACCATATCCCGGCGCATCACGGACATGGCCCAGGATATCAAGTGTCAGCTGATTGACAGTGAAGAAAGGGAAATATGCTTTACAGTTAGACGAATCCACAGATATGTCAAACTCTGCCCAACTGCTTGTTTTCGCCAGATACAGTTTTGATGGAAAACTTGATGAGGACATGCTGTTTTGCACCCCGCTGGAGCTAAAGTGCACAGGCGAGGACATTTTCACAAAACTTGACAACAAAATAAAAGAAGAGGGACTGTCTTGGGATGAGTGCATCGGTGTGNNTTTCTGGGCAAAAGGAACCCAGGGGACGGGACTTGATTTCCGTGTAAAAAGAAAAGGGAATGAAAAATGGGGGTGGGCCCAATTTACGTTGAAGGTTTGGAGTGAACCCAACCCCCTCCATCAGGGGGAAGGCTTGGAAGATGAAACGTGGGGGCTGGTCTTTTTTTCAGGCTGGACCAATGAATCCCCAGAAAGCACAAACCGCCGGGGCAACGGCGAGGGAGGTAAGCTTTCGTAAAAAAGGAAACTTTGCAAAAGTTCCTGGGAGTTTGGGGCCCAGGCCAGTCTTTCCCAGATTCTTCAAAACCTTCCATAAGGACAAAACGCTTTTGGAGGGAGTTGAATCAAATTTGTGTTGCCCAGGGCGGACAGCCCCAAAAAACATCCACTGGCTCTTAGGGAGGCAGGGGGTTCCCAAGGTGGTCCCGGCGGGAGGATGATTTCCCATAATTCCTCTTTTGATGGACCCCCTGAGTGTTAAAAAAAAAAATAAATAAACAATTATTTTTATTTTTTATATGTTGTATATTAAGATGAAAATAAGACGTGTGCATAGGGGACATTTGTTTATGTAAGCCTGTTTAATTAGGTAGCGGGACAGAATTAAAGAATTGGAATTCTGACAATTACCAAACAGTATTCATTTGGCGGTCCAAAGGGCACTTTCTACCGCAACCCACCAGGTAAAATATTCAGGGAAACGTTAAAACACACATTTCCAACTATTACTAAGTTAATTCTTCTTGGGAAATCCAGCTCTTTAATAAAACAAAATTTTTCAAATGGGGGGGGGAAAAACGTTGGTTAAAATACCCCAAAACTAGTGGAGGGAAGGGCCAGAAAGGCCCAACGGAGAGGCCAGCGGGGGAGGAGAGCGGAAGAGGGGGCCCGCCATCCCACAAAAGGGCCGGTCGGACTTTCCTTGCGCGGGGAAAGAGGGAGGAGGAGGAGGAGAGCCAACAAAACCCGTAAGGGGGGGGTTCCATAAAGCCAAGTCAAGACCAGCCCTTCATCCACAGTGTCGCAAGTATCGAAGGGAAACATGCAAAGTCGGGGATTCCACATGGCCTCATTATCAATGAGCACCCAACATCCCCCCAATGGTGGTAGGTGTGCCCACGGGAGTTTTGGCCCACAGAGGGGCTTTAAAAAAGCCCCGAAAAAATGCTTCAAGACATTTTAAACACGGAAAGCACCCTCTCTCGCTAAAAAAAAACCAAGCGATTTTTTTTCCCGGCCGGAAGCAGAAGAGAAATTGCTAAGGCCAAAAAGAAAAGTATAACTAAAAAACCAAGGCAAACAAAATCCCCTAACCCCAAGGGGCTTCAAAAAAAGGTGGCATCCATATGAGGGTGGGGCCATATTTATGGGGGCACAGGGGGGCAAAAAAAAAAAAGGCCAAAGAAACATAATCGGGGGGGGGGAAACCTATTTAACCTGGCTTGCTATCGCTATTTTGGGAGTAGGGCAATGCATGGGGATAAACAGGGGCACCGGAAGGGGGCTGGAAGCAGTGGGCCGCTGTCTTGGACGGGGACCCCAATCCCCAGCCGGGGCCATTTTCACGTGACATGGGCCCCCAGGATATTCCCAAAAGTGGTCAAGCTGATGGGGGGCAGGAATGAATAAGGGGGGGAAATATGGATTATTAATAATAATAACGTGTACATAGACATTTTGTATTATGTAAGTCTGTTTAATAGGTAAGCGGGACAAATAAAGTTTTCGCCAGATACAGTTTTGATCGAAAACTTGATGAGGACATGCTGTTTTGCACCCCGCTGGAGCTAAAGTGCACAGGCGAGGACATTTTCACAGAACTTGACAACAAAATAAAAGAAGAGGGACTGTCTTGGGATGAGTGCATCGGTGTGTACAGATGGTGCTGGAGCAATGCTGGGGAAAAAGAGAGGACTAAAAGCAAGAGTCTTACAAGTGGCGCCCCACGTTATCTTTACGCACTGTATTATCCACAGAGAAGCTCTAGCGAGTAAAAACGCTTGACCCAGAGCTTAAAAGTGTTCTTGAGACGGCGATAAAAATGGTCAACTACATAAAATACCGTCCACTCAATACCAGGCTGTATCTCTGCAACGAACTGGGATCGGAGCATCAGGGCCTGCTGTTCCACACAGAAGTCAGGTGGCTTTCAAGGGGAAATGTTCTCAGCCGCCTGTATGAACTGCGGGGCGAGGTGTGCTTATTTCTCACGGAGCATGGGTCCCAGCTCGCTGACCACCTGACAGACCCTGACTGGTTAACAAGGCTGGCATACTTGTCTTGCATATTTGACAGACTGAACGGACTTAACCTGTCATTGCAAGGTGAAAACACAAGCATCATGTCCTTGAATGATAAAATCTGCACATTCAAGAGGAAATTGGATCGCTGGACTGCGCGAGTTGAAATGGGCAGGATTGACATGTTTCCTGAGCTGGAGGAATTCATAGAGGAAAATGATCTTAGTGTTAACTCTGTGAAGAAGTCTATCACTACCCACCTGCAAGCCCTCCTGGAACACTTTAACAAGTATTTCCCAGAGGAAGCAGCTCCGGAGAAATATGACTGGATAAGATCACCATTCACTGTGACGACCGCAAGTCATCTGTCATCCGACATGGAGGACGCACTGACTGAACTGTCAAGTGACCGCACATTAAAGACAGCTTTTAATGCGAAGATGCTTGCTGAGTTCTGTATTTCAGTCGAGAGAGAATACCCACAGCTTTCCAAGGCCGCGATGGACGTTCTGACGCCGTTTGGCTCCACATACCTGTGCGAAAAGACTATCTCGGCACTGACATAGATAAAAAACAAATACAGATCTCGTCTAAACGTGGAGGATGATATCCGAGTGGCCGTCTCCAAAATTAAGGTCAGGATGGATTTGCTGTGCTCCATGCATATTGCCCACCCGTCTCATTAGGTGAGATTAACGCTGAAACATAGCGTATTCCCCAAATGTAAATATGCACCGCAACAATGTTCATATGTTTAGTTATTATTACCTTTTGTCTTTAAAGTTTGCACAGCAACAATGTTCATATGTTTATTACCTTTATGTATTTTTACAGTTTGCACCGCAACAATGTTCATATGTTTACTACAGTTTATGTCTTTTAAAGTTTGCACCGCAACAATGTTCACTCCTAATTCACATGGAGATTACTTTGACTCACGAGTTCTGCTGTTATCTTATATTAAATTGCTATATGTAAGATCATATCATGGTTGTCAAGCTGTTCTGTTCTTGTGTGTTGTCGTTATGCGCGTGTTTGGATACGACTATTAGTGCGTGCATCCTGTGCACACGTTTTTTTTTTCTTCCAGTCACCACGTGATAGTGGGGGGTCGCCAGTTTCTGGCACTGTTATTTTGGGGGTCGCGGGCTGAAAAGTTTGGGAACCCTTGCTCTAAGGTACATTTAGAGCAGATAGAAAATGTGCGATTAATCGCGATTAACTATGTGTCACGGTTTGTGAAGGAAGCAGGACCCAAATGCAGATATCAACTGAAAAAACTTCTTTATCTCAAGGCTATGATATAAACAATGACAAAACAGAACACTCACCGCAGAACTAGTCATGGCACAAGACGAACCGACAAATACAGACAGAAAACCCAGAACTTAAATACACACAAGACTAATCCCACAAGACACAGGTGAGGAGGGAGGAGAAAACACAGGGGCCACAGGTGAACATAATCAGACAATTAGACACACCAGGGAAACTAATGACAAGAGGAAAAACACAGGGAAAAGGACCAGACAATAACCCAAAGGAAAACATGACATGGAAAACAGCAAAAACACCCAAACCTACAAAACTATAAACGTGACATAACATGAGAATCGTGACACTATAAGACATCATGCGATTAATCATCAATATTTTAATCGACTGACAGCCCTAGTTACAATACATTGTGAGATAAAGATTGATATATTATAAGTATAGTTTTCTTCATGGTTTATATCTACTTTAATTCTTCTTTATTTCAAATACAATATTTTTTTGATGCAGTAGGTGGACACCTAATTTGTTAAACAAAAATAGAGAGTATGGAAAGGTCTCGCCCGTGCTTCTGATCAGACCTGTCTCTTTCTCTGGTCAGTGCAACTTGCTGTTTTTGCATAAATACATTATGATGTAAAAAAGCCACTCCACTACTATCTTATTAATTCAACTTCTTCCTTGTCAAAACCTGACGGCAAAATGACCCATAATGCAACAGTTTGGTCAGAGGCTTAGATGTGTTATTCTAGTGGCGACTTACAGTATATAGCCCTTAGAGTAAATGAGGAGGGGTAACACTCACATTAACACTGATTCTGTCAGACAGAGGTAAGTCTCTCTTCATATGAAACATCGGAGACAGTTAGTATGTGATGTGTGTGAGCAAACTGAAGGCACAGTATTGTTTGAATGTAAAATATTTATCTCCAGCCAGGGACTTCTTAGCCTCTGCTACTTTCCACTGACGTTACTCTCATATTGATTATATCGTTTCTCTCATCTTGTGGCCCTCAGCTCCCACAGTGGCCCCTAGTGGTCTTGGAGGAGGAGGAGGAGACCGCAGTGAACTTATTGTGACCTGGACGGTAAGAGGAGGGATTATTTTGTGTGTAGCTATTATTGTATGTAATACAGAGAGAGGATTCTTACCTTGATTTGTCTCAAATATATTTTTGGACAGAATTCTGGATTCCGTAATGGCCAGTGTAAACAGGAGAGAGGATGACATAATGCAAAACAGAGGAACCTTACTATTATTTGAAGGAAGAATAAGAATCAGTCCCTGAGAAAAGTGTGCTTGAAGGGTGTTAGATGACTGGTTTTATTAATCTGTGCTGAACTGCAGCCCATGGCCAGAGAGTACCAGAACGGGGACGGCTTTGGCTACATCCTGGAATTCAGGAGGAAAGAGAAGGCGGCCTGGACAGCGGTGCGTGTTCCTCACGTGGAGTCCTCCGGATACGTTTACTACAACGACAGCCTGACGCCGTACACCCCCTTCGAGGTGAAGGTCAAGGCGTATAACCGCAGAGGAGAGGGTCCCTTCAGCCAGATCGCGGTGGTCAACTCTGCAGAGGAGGGTGAGCCCATCCTGATACCCCTCCTACACTCTCCTTTACAACACAATGTCTTCTTATTATCTAATGATAACATTTACGTTAGTCCTTCTGTCAGGGGCCCTCGAGCAGTAAAGGCTTCAGTGCCTTGCCCATTCAGATTGACTGTGTTATGCAGGTTACTGCAAAGTCACAGTAATGGCATACATCAAGTATCTTTTAGGATTTTAGAAAGTAATAGAAAGTAAGATTCTCTGGTGTATTTCGGGAGTAAGTAAACTATGTAAAATATGTAAAAGAAGATTTGAAAAATGGTGTTAATGTAACTGCAGTATTTGCTGTCGCCACCAGAGGGCAACGAGTGCCTTCAGCACAGTGGCTGCAGGCGGCTCACTGAACTCACTGATAGTTAAAGTGGACCTATCATGCTATATTTGAATAATATAGTGTAGGACCATACCCATATAATGTATATTTATACGTTTTATTTTTCAAAATACCAAACAGATCATGCATTTTATCCATTCCTCATTTCGCTCAATTTAACACTGCCTTTCATGCTCGGATTCAGTGAACAGCAGGGGATAGGCAATCGACGGCCGGAGACAAGACTAAACGAGTTGGTGTCCTGCTACAGGCGGGGACATGGGGACATAAGATGGCCCCCCGCGACGCGGCCAAAATGCCGTTCGCATACCGGCGCAACTGCGGCGGGGTAATCACGGCGCAATGTCCGACGCAGGGCCGCAAGGTCGTCGGTCCAGGTGCCCGGTGACGACTCAAGCGTTCGCACATCGACAGGTACCGTAACTCAGTCCCTACCGGCACCTAGAACGACATGAACTACGCCGGCACATTGCGCCTGGTATTGCGCCTCGCATGTTGCGCCCGCATTTGCCGCTGCAATTTGCTGCGCCTGGGGGCCACTATGTCCATTCCCCGCCGCGCCGACCACGCCGCCGTTTACTGCGGACACTAATTTCTAGGCTTTGCATACGCCACGACAGTACTATCGTCACAAGTCATGTACCAGACAATACCTCATGTCGTAACTTGAGAGTATGTTTACATAGAAATGTATCGATACATCTCTTATAGTACAAAGCTGGTCTGTGAATTGTGAGTATCTATATACGGTGTATAGAATGGTACAAACAGGACGTGTTAACTGTGAAGTCGACCACTAAATATGCTGTTACGGTCTACGTTGAACGGAACCATCTTCTTGAAGTAAGCTCATGTAGATTAGAGGATGTAGAGAAGCGTGATAGTGTGAAAAGGAGATGGGAACCGTCTAACGCTTGTTTTGTCTCACACTGATATATGTCGTTGGCCAGCGTGGTGCGAATCATTGGGGGTTCGTCCTACAGGTGGGCTCACCCACGGCTCGCCAGACTACCCTCCGGAGGGTCCTTGCGGCCTAGAGTTTCCGTCGAGTCTCGGGTCCGTCAACTACAACCGACGCTGGGTGAGTACCCGAGACACTCCGTCAGTCCCTGCTTCCGTATGTTTTTTGCCTTCGCTCTGGTCTTCACACACTAAATTTTGCCACGTTGGAATGAGTACGTGCGTGTAACGGTGGAAATACATGCGAGAGATGATATATGTTGTTATTTAGTATACGACGTGCCCACCTCGACAGGTGCTCCTTGTGATGAGGTGTGTATTCCGTCTTTTGTGTTGGGAGAAGAGAAGTTGAATTGGAGGAATGCGGTTGTTTAGAGAATTTTTTCCCCCGACGGTGTCCTTCGACTTATGTCTGACCTATGTGTCTATACTAACTTGTGAGAGACTGCAGTGCCTTCGGTCCGGCGATGCTTATACCGTTAAGTCTGTTGAGGTGGTCTAGTCCTCCTCTGTCGGTGCCTGTAACGGCAAGGCTTTCGCGACCTCTGCGACATCATGTATAAGTGCGGTGGGTCT